CAAAAAAAAAAGTGTCAAGACTGGCCAAAAGAAGAATGAGAGATTCACATTCTGTTTCCCTAATGCCCCTTCTGAATCCAAGATCCCAATTTAGGCTCAATTCAGAGAAGTTCACAAACTTAGATATGGGTTCAAACTTGTAGCAGGAAAGTGCATAAAGTGCAGGAAATTGGACCTTTAGTGGTTGTGTACCTATCCAAAGGTCCTCCCAGAACAAGACTCTCAAACCATTTCCCACATCATACAGTATGAGATTCACAAAGGAAGGATATACCTCATAAATTGCTTTCTAGGGGGATTTTGAAGTTACATTGGAAGTTACCTTTGCATCCCAACTATTGTCCATCTGATCATGTATGCTTTCAATTACCTTGTGCCAAATTCTACCACTTTCTAAAGAAAACCTCAGGCTAAATTCTTTTGGGTTAAATTTCCCATCCCTAGGCTACCCTTTTCTTTAGGTTTACTAACCCGTTCCCATTTCACCATGTGGTCTTTCTTCCCATCCCTTGATTCCCACAAGAGGTCCCTCATTAACTTTTCTAGTTGCCCAGAAATTTTTTCAGGGATATGGAAGGTGGACAAAAAGTACATGGCAAGATTAGCTAAGGTGACTTTGATCAAAGTTATCCTCCCACCCCCCAAAAAAATGTAGTTCCTTTTCCCAAGTGCCAATTTTTTAGCAAATCTCTCTGGCACAAGCTTTCAGAAATGCTTAGATATAGGGTTTCTTCCTAAAGGAAGTCCAAGGTACTCCAAAGGCCAATTTTTGACTCCACACCCCAAAGGACTCTGCTATTCTAGGGACTTCTTCCTCTTGCAAGAGAGCTATCCTCCAAGTAGATCCTTAATTTAGGTAAGTGCTCAAAAGAATTGACAAGGGTCTTTAGGTTTCTAAGGGACTTAGGGCTGAAGCCATTACAAAGCATAGTTATATCATTTGCTAATTGCAAGTGGGTAACTTCCACTTCTCCAACCTCTGATTAGGTTATCCAAATTTTCCTTTATGATAATTCAACTTAGGACTTCTACAATCAAGGTAAAGAGGAAAGGGGATAAGGGGTCACCCTGTCTCAAGCCTCTTTTGGTTTGGAGAAAATCTCTAAAAGACCTGTTGGTTAGAAATAAACATTGCACTGAGCTCAAACAATCCTTAATCCATGATCTCCACCTTTCCCCCAAACCAAAACTCTCCATAATCCCAAGAAGGAAGGACCAAATAATCCTTCTCTAAGTCCAACTTACAAATAAACCCTTTCCCTCTTTTCTTCTCAGCTATACATTCATTAGCCACTAGAATCTGGTCCACAATTTATCTCCCTTCCACAAAGGCACCTTAGTTTTGTGAAATTATTGTGGGTAAAACCTTCTTTAACCTACCTGAAATAACTTTTGCTATTATTTTGTACAGGCTACCCACCAAGCTAATTGGAAAAAGTTTTCCCTTTGTGGTGAAACTCATCCAACACTTCTTTCAGATCCTTTTCCAAATTTCTTTTGATAGACAATCCTTTTCCAAAAATTCCCAACACTCTTGGAAAAAACCATAGTAAACCCATATGGCTCTAGTGCTTTTGATCTTTACATGGATAACACAACCTCTCTAATTTCCTTAATGGTAAAGGCACTCTCCAATGCAATTGATTGATTGTCTGTCACCCTATCCTAATCCAAATCAGTGATTTCATGTATTCCATTCTGCAAAATATGCTCTTAAAGTGGTCCATAAACACCTTAACAATCTCCTCCTCTTCTTATCTCAACTCCATCCACTTCCACACTTGTTACAAAGTTTTTTCTTTCTCCTCCCATTTGCTAAAGAGTGGAAGAATCTTGTGTTTCCATCCCCCTCCTAAAGCCATTTACACCTTGATTTTTGTCTCTAAGATATTTCTTTCTTTCTTAAAGTATCTTCAAACTCCACCTTCAGTTTCCAATACTCTTCTCTTTTCTCTTCACTCGTTTCTCTCAAAGCTTCTTTCTTGTATCCTAGAGGAGATTCAAATTCTTCAGGCAAGCATCAGAGAGAGAGAGAGAGAGAGAGATGTACACAACCTTACCCTTGCACATATAGAGAGGCTGCGACCAAGATTTGAACCTTGGTCACCTAGGTTGCAATGGAGCAACCCAAACCATTGCACTAAGGTCAACATATATAATTGAATTGAATGTTAACAGATTGAATCAAGGCCAATCTGAATTCGATCCAATTGTTAAACAAATCATCTTTCTTGGTTCGAATTTGATTTGATTAGTCTGATCGGATATCTGAATCTGGCTTAATTGAATATGATTTTAATTTGAATTGTGGATCAATATCTGATTCATTTGCAGCCCTACTCAATTGATGCCTAAGTTGACTAATGCTCTAAAAGATGGTCTTGCTAAGATGTGGGGTTTCTAAATCCATTTTGTACCATCAAGCTTCCCTCCATGTATAGTATCACGTAGTGATGCTTTGTTTCTTTTTCAACTTGGTATGTGCTTATAGTTTACAAATTACCAGCCTTTAGGTCATCTCAAGCCTGCAGTTTCCATTGTATTCCTGCTTTCCCCTTTATTCCACAAGAAAGCTTTCAATGTTTACGCCAATGAAAGGGAAAAGAAAGAAAGAGTACTTTAACGAAAGACTTTGAAGTTGAATCCAATTAAATCTAAAGACTCAATTTTGTATGGAATGTGAGGTAGAAGGCCTCTGTTAAGAATTTCAAAATAGAGATTGTTGTGAGGATTATTTAATTGTAATTTTATAGTTGCTGTTAGTGGGTTGTCCTCTTAAGATGCTGTCGTTTAGTTATTTTCTTTCTTTCTTATTAGTTTATTTCTAGGGAGTGCCGCCAGGGGCATACTTGTAATTTCCATTCTTTTTATATTAAGTTAATATAAATAATGAACTGGCGGCAGCCA